GTTCTTTAAGTTATTTCTCTTCTACCGATTGGCCGATGTGATAATAATAATTTTACGAAACTCAATCGAAAAGTGCTCTAAATGAAGATGTACCTTGGAAATTTTTTAAGGACAAAGGCCATGGGCTAGGTGACTTCTTGTTAAAAACAAAGGTGCCATGTGTTTGAACACAAAATTGGCTAACCGAAAAAAGCGGAAGTTTTTTTCGTTGAGCAGGCAATGTTTTCTCAAGCGTATCCATGGCAAGGTAAAGAGTTGTTTTTTCACCGATGGGGAATCTATTAATATCCACTAATAGCCAAAATATCGAGTTGTAAAAGTAACTATTTTAGGTGTCGCCTCTTGAAAATTGTGCACAAATATTCTTAACATATTGAGGCTTATGAATGCATAAATATTTTTAGATCCTTTACAAGCAAGGGTAAAAACATCCAAATAAGATCTTCCTGAAGCAATAGTTCTTCAAAAATGGTCTATGATCTATCGATCCATACTATCTTTAGCACTCATAACAAATTAAATTCTCGGAAAATCCCACTACTAAATAATGTTCATAGACAAGAACGTTACAACTTCAGGAACCACTTCTTTAATTAGGCATCCACTCTTGTTAATTAGCCCCAGGTATTAAACTGTCAGACTGCATTTTCAGGAAAACGACAAACTAGTGGGGAAAATGAGTCACTCACTTCAGCAGTCTCAGTACATCTCACTTTAGAAGTCTTTGCACATCCATAGTTTAATATCAGTTTATGAAACAATTTTTCATTAATTATGACTGCCGAGCGACCTCATCGTGGAATACGATATTCTTCATTTTTAACAATATTACCAATTTCCCCTCTTGTCTATAGTGTAGTGCATGAAAGTTCAAATTATTGAGTGCAGGGTGTAATTAGACGTGTCAACTTGCCTGGAAGGATGAGTTACCTACCTCCTGATGGGGTTTCTATTGATTGTATCATGTTTTTATGTGTTCAAGATCACTGAAGTCATTCTAGTACTGTAGAATTACTCAGCACTACTGCAGTTTATACCAACTCTCAAAATAGATTTCATTTATTCTTAGAGATAAGGCACTTGCGTTTGATATCTGTCACCTGCTGATTTATCATCGCTTTTTAGGGAGATTAAAGTGTCTGACAACCAGTTGGGATGCATCCTAGTCATTTTCTTTCTACGTCGTGAAGGTTTTCTCGGAATCGGTCACCAAGTCGTCTTCCTGTTTCACCAATGTTATGCAATAGACGACATTGGTGGAGGTGCACGTGAAGTAATCAGTAATCGTAATGGCTCGTTTGGGACACAATATTTTCTCCACGTTATGAATGAAAGAACAAGTTTTGCACCGTGCGCGAGTGCATTTGAAAGTTCCGGGTTGGTCATTAGTTTGTGATGAACTTCTGACCAAAACGTTGCCTATGTTTTCCTCACGTTTAAGTAAGTAAATTGAAGTAATTTAAAGCTTTTAAGATTGATGGATTTTACCGAGTGGTTGTGAGGGTGAAATTTAAAAAAAGAATGGAATGCGATGCGTATTTTCCTTTTGTGACGTTTGTAGTGCTGGCTGTCGATCAATTTGTTGGGCGCGGAGGTGCCCACTTAAACGACAGAAATAGGATAGCCACGTTTTTCGAAAAAAGGGCTCATTGCCTCTGATTGTTGAAAAAATCCGTTGTCTCTACATAAACGACGAAGTGTAAGGAACTGAGAAAAGGGAATTAAATATTTGTCGGATGCGAAGATGAATATACAACAACTAACTATGTGAGTAGGTAGGTTTGTAGAACACGCTACTACATAAATCGTTGCGTTCGATTAAACCTTTGATATAAAGTATCTTGATATACTCCCCACCACCGCAGTTTGAATAATCGTTGACTTTCTTGTTGTATTTTTTCCTGTTTAGTAGCTCTCAATGAAGGTGTTGCAATGCAATAAGAATCACGAATTAAAGCTTTTTTTTTCTCCGCCTTCGTTGGTAATGTGATGTCACAGCAGTTTTTGCAGTGTTATTTTAAATCATTCTGGCTGTGCTGTATCTTCTTAAAAAAAATATAGATTATGACTGAAATAATAATAATAATTAATAATAATAATGATAATAATAAAGATACAAAAATAGAAAACACTATGGAAATTATCCACATTATTTTTGTTTTTTTTTTTGTTTTTCCTAATTTCGCTTTTCTATATTTGTTCTCTTTTGCATGGAACTGTTGATCACAGCCATTATGGAGTTGATATATAGATAATGACCTTATCTAAGGTAAAATACTACAAATTCTGAGCACCGTGTCTACAAAGTTGAACAATGTTATCTCAAAGAAAACAACATCTCGGTTCCACTTCGATGATATCAACGATATTCCTTTACCTGATGTTTTGTGAAAAATTTTCACACGCATAACTTTTTTGGCTTAATTTCCACTAGTTATTAGCCATTCAAACATGCAAGCCCAAGTTATTGGAGTTCGCTTCTGTACACCTGAACGGTGGGATTTAAGCTACTCCAAAAGTCGGAGATTTCCACTTAGAGATTAAAGTGCCACTACCTACAAGAGAAGATAACTGTTTGATCTGATCTATCGTTTGGCGTTATTCTGTGCATTGGTTGGACTTAACAACGAAATTACCGCAAGTAAACAGGAACCTTTTTTTTTCAGCCGACACCTTTGTCAAAGTACATGAGCGAACATTTATAGACAGGCGTGTATCACAGGCTCAAATAATTTCATATAAGTCCCATTTGGTGCTTCATAATCTCGTTCAATATTTGAAATGATGTTTACCAGCAATAACAAACCATTTTTTTTTTGTCCAAGTAGGAGATAAAAATTATCGCAAGGCTCGTTTTAGGTGATGTCTTTGTGGCTTTAAAGCATACAGCTATCTATCGAAAAGGTTCAGCTTTCAAATTTTGTATGTAAAACGTGTTCGAAAATGTTAAGAACACTTTCCAAATTTACAATAACAAAGAACGACTGGCAAATCTTAAATCAAGCTTAATATAACCAAATAAAAACTTATTTATCGCAGTTATTAATCTGGATCATTCTTTAAGATCTTTCCTCCATTTATTAAATTTGTCTCACTTTATCTAAAGTTTCCTTAGGTCAGTTAGCTCAAAATAATTGGAATGCTTTCGAACACTGTGGGCAAAGCTGGTTTAATTTGATCATTCCTCTCACTGATATTATGGATAACAGTCGGATTGATTTATTAAAAGTGAACCTAGCTGCCAGGAATTGAAATTCAATGTTTGCTTCTTTACCATCAAGACAGATCAGATGGCGAATTAAGAGTCAAAACTCTGAAATTATTGTGTAAAATGGAAGCATAAAAGGGTTCACACCAACAGGCGCAGCGAAATCGGCAACCGGCGCCCGACAAAGCATTGCTACACCACGTGCATACAAATTTGACATAACCTTTATAAAAAAGGGAAAATTTGAACGATTTTTGACACGAAAAAAGGAGAGCATGATTTTGTCTTCTCTGCAGCTTGTTCGTTTGTTTTACACACAAGGTAAAAGGATTAAATTGCCCTTGCCCAAATTTACCGATAATAACGGGTGGAGTGTTTCTCAATATGTTCTTTGATTATTATCACTGATAAAAGTTAATTGTTGTATTGTTCATCGCAATTTGAAATTTTCTCATTGTATCCAGTATAATCGGTTGAGGTGGTAGAAATATCGTTGAGGCACCAAAGGTTGTCTCGGTGTTTTCTACAACTCTAGGCAAAAAAAAAAATTTACTAGTCTCAGAAATACTCAACCTAAACACCATTTAAAGATAAACTTCAATAATTTTTTATTTATACCGATAAACTTGACCGCGTCTCGAATGCTACCTCTATTCCAACATACCTTAGACTAATCAACGCTCCAATTTTTTGCTCCCCCATAATTCAATCCGGTCTTGCGAGTAATTTTTAAAAGAGCCTCCTTGCATTGGCGGGATAGTATGAACATCATAAAGATTAACTGATCACTGCATCAAATTTTCAAAGGAGGTGCACTTACTGAACCATGTTCAACATTTACACACCCTCAGCGCAACGGTTAAGACACGAAGCAACAGAAAATCAAACACGAGTTTGTAAAAAAAATTGTGACAAAAAAAAGAATTTGAAAAGTGCAACAATACAGTTACGCTGCCGACAAATAATATTCCTTTGCTTACTCCAGGTTAGCAATGCGGCGCACGAAGACATCGAAATATTCCACGTCCATCCTAACCTATATACATTCAATTTTAACGCTCCCGTGCAGTTCATCTAAGAAATCGAAGCCATGATGAGAACATTAACTGTCATTAAATCCCATATTACAGAGAGCTACAGGTAATAAGACCCACTTGGGACGAGAACAACTGTATTTCGAAAGCCATTAGACGTTTTATTGGAAAAACATTATATTTCAATAATATAGATTCTGTAGATAAAAAGAGAGAGAGATGGTAAGTTCTGAGCTTGGTAAAGAAATAGAGAAGGATGTTTTTCGTCTTGTCACGAGCGTGGGACAAAGAAAAATTTCTGAGTCCTCATGAGGAATCGAACCTCAGACCTTCGGATTCCGCGTTCCGATGCTCTACCACTGAACCAGAGACTTCACGGTAAGCGAGGTCTATTACGAAGTTCTTATGACACGCGTCCTGCATACTGCTAGGATCAGCAATGTCGATAACGTCATGTTCGTAGAAAGAAATAAGTGAGATGGTATGTTTTGAGCTCGGTAAAGAAATAGAGAAATATGTTTTTCGTCTTGTCACGAGCGTGGGACAAAGAAAAAAAAATCGTGACAAGACGAAAAACATCCTTCTCTGTTTACAACACCTTATTTTTAAAGAAAGCGCAGAGCTGAGGACAAGCTTTAGAGTTTCCCAAACTGTAATATTTATTTGAATTCTGTGGCTTGCAGAATCGATAATATATTCAAATAAACCACTTAATACCACGATTAGTAGCTACATTTATTGTAAAATGGTTTTACTTTGACACTTAATTTGGCAAGCATGGAGAGAACGAAAGTTGTTCTTGTTTCCAAAGCAACCACCGTAAATGAACTGGCAGCATTTTCTAGTATACTTGTCGAAAATGTGTCGCTCAAAAGAAGCTCTTCATGGTCCAGGTTTTTCCGGCAGGTGGCAGACTTCCTTCACACTTGATCAATCTCTGTCAGCATTTAAGTCTGCCAAACCAAAATATATAAATAACTGTGCATGTATGAAAATCATACATGTGAGCTGCGGATTAAGAAATGAAATCGCTTTCATACTCTTTTCTTAATCCGCACTTTACAGATATGATTTTCGTATATTTAAAGTCATCTCTTCATTACTTTATAGATTTATTACGGGTTCATTCCTTTTGGGCAGCAGCTTATGATCGTGTAATCACATAAACTTAATTGTCAGACAAGTAGTCCAAAAATACCCAGCGTTCTGATGAGGGGAAGGGGTGGGTCCTGACCACATGGATCTTCCTCCTCCAGGATATGCAACTTTATTACTTAATGACAACGAAATCGATCTCACATTGAGGAAAAGATATATGAATGATCAAGAACGATACACAAACTCAAAACTGTATGTTCAGTCTTCACTTACACCGTGAATATGATGTAGGCTGGATTTTCATTTGTAACTAACGATTATACATATTCTTAGATTTGTGACGTTTTTAAGATCATTGTTAACTTCATACAGCTGTCGCCCAGAGAGTAAGATTTCGTTTAATATTATGCTTTACAGGAAAAGTATACTAAGTCTCAGCAAAGCTCCAAAGCTAAAATAAATTGATTGTCACGCGAAATGGTTTCCAAAATTGTTGAAATAAACTTCATACTACCATAAGTAGCCACATGTATTATAACATGATCTTACTTGGGCATTTTGTTTGGCAAGCTTGGAGAGAAGGAAAGTTGTTCTTGTTTCCCAGGCAGCCACCGTAAATGAATTTCCGGCATTGTCCGATATTCGCGTCAAAAAAGAACCTTGGAAATGCAGCCCTGCATGGTCCAACCTCTTTGGGCTGACGGCAGGCTTCATTCAAATCTGAACAATCCTTTGCAGCATGCAGATCTACCAAAAAGGAAATGTACATAAATAAAATCCTCCAGCCACCAAAACTGATGGCATCTAATTGCCCTGTGCGGTTTTCTCATATAAGTTAGTGATCAAATAGACCTTAATACCATAAGAAGTGGCTATATATATCAAGGGGAAAAAAATGAAGGTCTTACTTGAGCATTTCATTCGACAAGCCTGGAGAGAACGAAAGTTGTTCTTGTTTCCTTGGCACCCGCCGTAAATGAACAGGCGGCATTGTCCGGTATTCGTATCAAAAAAGAATCGCGGAAACGCAGCCCTGCATGGTCCTGGCTCTTCGCGAAGACGGCAGACTTCATTCATACTTGAACGATCTTTTTCAGCTTGTACATCTACTATAAGGTGAAAATTGCGAGTTCAGGGTAATCATGTAATATGAAGGGTAAAGTTTGTACTTGAGCCACTAGACGACAGTGACTATGGTCATCGTCATGAAGCTACCATAGGGATCAAGTTAGTGTCCATCCCTTACCCCTTCCCTTGTTCTGTGGTCGGGTGACAGCTAAGTTGTATGTACGAGGTATACTTAACAAGTTTACCAGAGACATCTTACAAATTACACTTGATTACGATGATTATACCAAGATTTTGACTATTTGATCAGTTGAGGGCGATCATTAAGTGGCGAATCTTTACAGGAGGGAGCACTTTCCTATCACCCCTTGTGGACGACAACAACGGAGATGAAGAAGTTAGGCACAACGGTTATTACCCGCTGATAATCAATCAGTACGTTCCTCTGATTTTTGCGCCTTTTATAGCATAGAAACACGATGATGCTTTGGATTTCCCGTGAAAAGATTCTCACCAGTAATGATATAAATGGTTAGACAGGTTATTACACACGAAACTAATATTTTATGATAAATTTATTTTCCTTGTAGACTTCTCTCAGTTAATTCAGAACTTCCATTACAAGGAAGCCCAGAAAATGATAAACTTTAGAGTTACCCACACAGTAAAGTTTTGTTTAAAACTATGGTTGACAGGATCAGTAGGCTTCGGCAAAGATCCAAAGAAGTGCTCAAATGAATTTTGATACCATAATTAGTAGCTACATGGTCTTACCTGGACATTTCATTTGGCAAGCTTGGAGAGAACAAAAGTTGTTCTTGTTTCCTAAGCAACCACCGTAAATAAACGGCTTGCATTTTCTAGTATTCGCGTCATAAAAGTATCGCACAGAAGCATCCCAGCATGGTCCACGCTTTTTGGGCAGACGGCAGACTTCCTCCAAACGTGAGTAATCTTTTGCAGCTTGCAAATCTACCAAAATGAAAAAGGTGCATGTTGAGGGTAATTGTGTAGTATTTAATTCTATCATGGTCGAGCGGCCCGTCCAGCCGACAGTTATTCTGGTTTCGTACAACATTAGGATACTAGCAGTCGAGTTTGTGTCTATCAGGCTCCACTTCTGTTGTCTTATGGATGGGATGGCTATTAGATCGTATGTAAAAGGTATAAAACTGGTTTTAAAAAAAGCTATAAACGAGAAACTAGAGGAATCTTTCAAATTACATCGATCTCAGTCAGAGATTCACCAATTTTCTCCATCGAGTGACGCTGAGTGAAAATCACGAATGATATGATCAGGGCTAATGCAGACAACTACCCTATTATTTAAAAGAAGTCTAGGAAAATAACGAAAGCAGTAATATCTACCTGTGAAGAAGAATACTAGGAACATGTATGCTGCAATAAATCCAGCCAGTTTCATCTTGCTCGTGGACTCTTTTAGGATTGACGATGACTTGCGATGCTTGATATGTGACTCGCAGCTAAGAAGAGAAATTAGCTTATATCACTCCTGACGGCTAGGCCGACAGCGGTGTTAATCAAGGTCATCAATGGAAAGGTTACCACTTTATCTGTTTATGGTGACGATGCTTTAGTCAGCTTAGTTCGCACGAAGAGTTACTTCTGACCGAAAAATACTTCCTTTGATCAGGAGGTCACTGTTGTGACGTGATAGAGTGGGTGAACTTATGACTACTAAACAAACATGATCAGATTCTATTTTGGCTTAAAACGCATGACTTTTATGACCTGCCGCATAATGGGGGGTATTAAGTGCATAAGACCCTGCAAGAGGATCAAAGTAATTAACAATGTTTTAAATCTGGTATGGAAAGCATCTTAATGGGCTAAATTGCATTGTTTGGGAAAGAAACGTGAATGAAAGGTATCTCTTGAGGGTGGCGTGGAGTTAGAGAAATCAGGAAAAGAATTTAAGAATTTACGTGTTCAAAGTGAAAGGTGCTATCATCAAATCTTCAAGTGAGCGTAAGGCTCGATACGTGACACACAAGAACCGATGAAATGAGCAAGTTGTGAAAACTCTATCAGAACTTGTGTCTTACAAAAAAGGATTTCTCAGATCTAATTGCCTCTCATAGTTGGACTTACTATTTAACGTTCAATCTAACGCATTGGAAATTACTAAACTATTTTTGATTTTCGATGAATAAAGCGTGCTCTGATTGCGTGGTCTGGTGAGTATTGACGTGTGCTTAAAACATGCTTTAGCCGATTAAGGATATAGGTTATTTAAAGTTCGGCCTCCTACCAGGTTAAAATGCTGCCAAAAAATAATCAGATAACAAATTCATTCCCTTATTGCAAAGGGGAAACGTCAAAGAACCAGCTAAATCTTGAATATTCCACCAACTGCCGCCGCTTGACAACATTGTTGTGGTAGAAAGGTATGAAACAAACAAAAACAAAACAGAGCAAAACAAAATATAATTATCACAGGCTATCAAATGCCTTTAAAAGGACCTTATCACGGTCAAGCCTCGAAACAAACATGTAATTACCTTTTTCGATGTTACTTGTCAACTGTCTGGCGATGTAAGGTCCGGCTGAACCCTCCATTTCATCAACTTTTTTTGTTTTTTGTTTTAAACCTAAAGTTCGGTAAGATTTTGTTGGGTATATAAGCATGAAAAATATAAGAAAGCTCTTCAAATAAAAGTAAGCTGTTCAACATAGACGAAAGCTCTCTCCACTCTCGAAGCCGAATGAGTTTAGCTGTATCCATCTCTTTCACAACGTCATTTAATATCCATGCTTTCATATTTTCCCTTCAAAGAAAAAAAATTGGCAAAAAACGGCATCCGTACAAAATATTCTCAAATGAAGTTTAGTATACGTTCTGACATTGTAAAGTTTGTTATATTTCTGTTGCAAACTCGTTGGCGAAATAGCCCAGCGTTTTCCAGTTGCAGAGGAAAGGTATGCAAAGGGAAAGTGTTTACCGCCGTGTATTTACATTTCTCTTAATTTAATGGCAAGTTTTGGGTTGATGGAAGAAATCATTGAATATTAACCAAATGTCAACTTACTGAATTTGTAATGAAACAGCTTTGGAAAGGTTTCATCACGTAATTTAAGATAAAAATAACAACTGAACCATAAGTCTTGCCCAAAATGAACGAAAATAGCCAAAGTGTTTTCCTGTTTCCTCCTTTTTTCCCAGGAAGTAGTAAAAACTAGACGTATATATGCGTTCACCTGGGCTTTCTTTGTAAATAAACTTTGTTTTTTTCTGCTTGCATTTGCCTAAGTTTTTTTTTAATGAAATTATTGGTTTATCCTTTCTGCTCTTGTTCCTTAACCTTTTCAAACTTTGTTCTGGTATTCTGCTTGGTTCACAATCACGTCTACATGCACGATGAGTTTTGCGTCTATGCTTCTCTCGATTAACATAAGATAGCTCAGTTGATATAGCATGTTTCTCGAGGAAGGGTTCACTCATAAATGTTCGCTCATAAAGAGATCTCTCAGAAGGTTCGCGGACCGACCCGTACCGAAAACGCTCGACATCTCTTAGGGTGGGTCTACCGCGAATTATGTGTGCATATTTTGTATGCGTTTTTAGCGTATTATACACAGTGTCTGTGCTGATTTTGCACCGCGAAAGCTTCTCTTCGGCTGCCATTACACCATGCCACGTGCTCATTAGTCAAAACGTCGCCCATACGTCAAAGTCAAAGGTTGCGCATGCGTGATTTGGACTTGACTGCGATTTGCGACCCAACGAAAAAAAAATCCAAGCCGGAATTTCAACTCGGGCGTTTCCTTTGGGAAGCCGGAGTAATTACAGCCCACACACAAAAATTCACAAACCACACTCGCACGTAAATCTGTCAGACAATTTCAGCCATGTTGCAATATGTTTTCACAATGATTTTAGTCCCTTAAGTCACGTTTCCAGCAGTTTCCAACGTAAGAACAAATAATCTTTACTTTTGAATGAGAGCAACCCAATTGTTAAATCATCAACTGTTACCAGCTGTTAATTTAAAAAACTTTCTATCTGACACAGTTTTGTTTTGACCCCGTTTGTGCTTGTATCAATTTGCGGCTGTGTAACACTATTCAACTCTGTACTGTTTTTTGGTTTGAACTGAAGAGGACAGAAGAACTATGGAAATATATGTTTTTCAAAATAAAAATGTTGAGCCAATAATAAATTGAAATGTCCGTTTAAGTACCTTGATTTCCTGTCAGATCTGTCGTAAGTTTTTTCAAAGCTTCATCTGATAATCATTACTAAAAATAACGTGGGATTACACTCCACAGTGATCTTATCAAAACCGCTCTAAAAAGACAGATGTCTGCCTGTTAGGAAAAATGAAACAATTTGAGGTGCATCTTTGTAGTTCACTTAGAAACTGCGTATCTACAGCTGTCTCCGGGTAAATCTTGTGACAAAAAAATCTTTCCTTAAACAAGATACATAAAGCTGGAGGGAATTCTCAGACTTCATCATTTTCTTTCACAAGGTGGATAATTTTTGTTTTAATTGGTACTGCATCATGACTGCACGACTATCGCTAATCGTAGAATCGAAATTTTAGAGACTTTAAGCAAACCACGATGGCAAAGTCAACGACAACTAGGCAATTAAAACGAAAGATCTCAGTTATGAGCAGATCAATAGTTGAACACGCTCGTTTAACAACTTTTTACATTTCTCAGCCGTCTTCTGCAAAACAAAACTGAAATCACAAAAGTTTGTGTGGTCTTAAAACAAAAAACCCCGATGGCAAATTATTTAAGTTTTCATTTGGAACTCAAGGCTGCTGAGTTTCGCAATTTGTTACAACAAAGGTGTGCTCTTGATTACGGCAACGAAGTTAATTCTGATTGCTTTCTGCCAAGATATTTATATTTTTTTGGAATCAAGAATAGAAACCTAAATGACTCCAGCCTTAATCCAAACGCTCCTTTTTAATTTCCTCTTAAATCTTTATTTAATCAATTGCAACGTAAGAGGCCTGAACCCTGCAAAACATCGTGCATTTCCCGCGCAAAAATTGGTTGGTATCCACCGCTTTCGCCCTCTATCGAGTTCGCCCCTTCGAGTTCGCCCCTACCTTATACCGTGTTCGCCCCCACACTTTTCGAGTTCGACCCCATCAAGTCGAGTTCGCCCCTTGATTGAGTGATATCCAGATGAGTTGATTCGTAAGTTGATGAGTAAATTCTTCAGTCCTAATTTCATAAATAAAGCTAAACGGGTACAAGTCTAACAACTTTTAAGTTGTCGCTTTCATCGCGACAGCATTGCTTAAAAGCAATGCTGTCGCGATGAAAGCGTGGTTTGCATCTTCTCAAGTCTGGTTGTTACGATCAATACATTTCGTGTTCGTTAGATAAACCGTGTGGTTCTCTTTATCACAAGTTCAGTGTATACAGTTATTTCTGGTAACCCCAGATCCCACGCAGAGTATTTAGTTGATTCCGTCAAGCCAGTTCCCAAGCAGGTTCCACGCAATTGCCGAAATTCAAAATGGTCGTCGCTGACGTGACATTTGGCACATTCTGCCAGTGCGTTCGTCGCAAATCAACTCATCTAGATATCACTCAATCAAGGGGCGAACTCGACTTGATGGGGTCGAACTTGAAAAGTGTGGGGGCGAACACGGCATAAGGTAGGGGCGAACTCGATAGGGGGCGAACGCGGTGCAATTCAATTGGTTGTGTGAAGGTTTCATCCATGAAGTTTGGAAACGAAAACAAGCATGGGATGGTAAAGACCTATCCAAGTATACTGCTATATCTATTTTTTCCATTTTTTTTAATTAAATAAGATAGCACAGTATTAAATTATACTAGAATTAGAAATTATTTCAAAAACAGCTTTATCTTTTATTTGACTTTTAGCAATCCTGTAATATATTGGCTCTTTCCCTCTCATAATTCCTATATATGCTATTTTACCTTATCGTTAGGTATAATGATATAGATATTATATGATTAGTTATAACGAGTAAGATTTCCCGAGTAATGTTTTTCGTTGCATATTCATGTTTCATCGCATATCTCGTCATTTTCTTTGCGAATTTCTACTTGTGCAAATTTCCAAGAGTTAATACAAGGAAGTGTTTTTAGAACATTATTGTGATGTTATGTCATTTCATATAAGCCAGCCTTTCGTAACCGAGCATATGCATAAGATCACCACAATTATCTTCGACAACTTTGATTAAATCCATAGGAGCGTTTTTCCAGTTATCTATAACTTCTGAGACATTTCTGTAGAGCGAGTAAGGGCCTTGTTGTTCAGCATCCCTCGGTGGTCTATTGTGATCATTTATCCACTCTTCAACGCTTGCCGACCACTCAAATCGCGCAAATTTGTACAGCTCCTGTGATATTATGATGGCATTGTTTATAAGGTCTTCGTAACGAATGACTTTAAAACGACCTCTAAGCCAGGAAGGGGGAGTAGACAAACCAAATCGTAAGTTGTTGACTGTTCTATTACACATTCTACCAACATACAATGAGAAATCTTTACTTAAATATGTCTCATTTAACCATTTAACTGACTGAACCACGGAGTAAATTATAGCCCTAGGATCACGAACCAAGTGAAGCAACCTCACGTCATGGCTTTCCCGCCGTACAAGAAGCTCCTGTAAATTTGCTATGCTATCGTTCGGCACACGACCGATCAAAATTTTTACAACGGTATGATTATGAGCGTTGCAAATATTTTTAAGCATCGCATGTGAGAGGGGCAGACAACTCGACGAACGGTTAAGATGTGCTAATGCTGGGGGACACAAGAATCGACTTGCAAGTGCTGAACTGGCCCAACGTGAGTCATCCTTGGAATACTCGGCTATTGTATTATTGTTAAGGACTGTGAAATCACATTTAAAAGTGCTTTCGATTACATTGATGCAATCATTCTTATAACTAAGTATTTGTTTGTCACTGGACAGATTGTCGTGAAATAAGTTCTTCTGCACAACGCGTAATGGCTCAAACCAATACATGATCTTTGAATTACTGTCGAATAATTTTCCGAGAAAAGATGATCCTGATCTGGGAGGACTTAAAATAATCAAATTTCTCCTAGGAGTTCGCGTCAGAGTTCCTGCATGTTTCTCATCTGTCTTTCCGTCGATCCGTGATTCAGTGATTTTCCTAAGCAATGCTAATTCGTGTTCTTTGCCATTGGACTGAAGATCTTGTCTATTTTCTGCTTTTGTGATTTCATATTTTCGTTCAAGCTCACGTTCGCCGTTTATATTGAAATCTTGGTCTATCGGGATCTTCTGTGTAAGAACTGAAGACAGCGGTTTTCTTGGTAACATGGCTGCCAAGCAGTAAAAAGCATAGATAGAAAACGCAGCGAAAGAAGTGAATAGAAACAATCGTACATAATACTTCATAATTGACTGCGCTCTGGCTCTAAGAAGACAAAAAAAGGACAAGCAATGTTTAACATAACCCAAGTGTGACAAACTAACTGTTAAACTATACAACCGATAACGCGTCTACGCAGCTACAAATGACAAAAAAAATTGAAATTTTTACAGCCGAATTTTTACAAGCACTTTGCTTAAACCAATTGT